GCGAAACGGCAATACGCAATACATGGTTGCCGAAGGCGGCCCTGGACTGCAATCGCACATTGAGATGCACATCTTGACGGGGGGCGAGAGACGCGGACAGAGGGAGAAACCATCCCACGTCACATCAACAGCGTACTGTAACATCCCTTTCCTGCGCACGAATGCTCCAAGTTGACAAGTCAATCATATTCCAAAGAGAGCTCACAGCTCGACAGGTATTCTACCGAAAATAAACAAAAAAGTATTCGCCGTCACTTCCGAAGCGTCCGGGCAGCCCCTGCCCCCGCCCCCCCGCCTGCCCATGTGGATGCCCTGTGCTCACCGGGCGGCAGCTTGGTCAGCATCATCTGCGTCTCTGGCGGTATCTCGTTGGCCTTGGTCGTGTGCTTGGGCATCATCCACCACAGCTTGAAGCGAGCCAGCGCCATCATGGAGGTGGCGTTCGGCCGTCCGACGTTCCACGTGCGAGTGGGGGCCCTGTCGTTCCCTGTCCGGGGTGGGGGGGGGTGGGGGGGGTGGTGCCGGTGTAGTGTAGTCACAATCATGTATGGAGGCTATCTCTACTCGTGGTATATGCGGTTGTCGCGGTGTGCGTGTTGTACAAGCAACACTTGCCGCGGCTCGTGGGGATACCTCTCTGAGGAAGTGTTTCCGTGGGCATGTTCCTGGTGTTCCATCTAACAGGCAACCTCCCACACCGTCATATGCATAGCTCTTGGTGGGCAGATATGCGGGTACCTCCTTCTTTCGCTGTTCACCCCTCCCTCTCTAGACGGGTGGTCATTGGCCAAATGCCCTGTCCCGTCCGTGAGGCAAGCAGCAAACTAGTACAATAGGTTACGCCCCCCGCCCTCCCTCCCACTGCTCCACGCCTGGTGGTGGGGGTAGCCAGAAAGAATGGTTCTGTCGTTCACCTCTCGACCCTGCACCCCCGCTTCGCAGGCATAAAGCATGGCACGGGAAAAAACGGGCCCCCGAATGCTGGCGGCAACTCCGGTGGAAATAACCGTAACGAATTGAGCAGCGGCGGTGCTTCCCGCCTCGACCGTGTTACGCGGTCAACCGAAAATGAGCTCCCCGCCTCGGCCTCTGCGTGTCTCAATCTGTCGCACCTCGCGCGGAGGGACACAGCAAGACATGCAGATTTTCTCTCCCCTCACTCATCGACCCCCCGTCTAGGACTCGCGCACCTGCTCTCAGGGATATGAAGGCGGCTCCGAAGCTCTCGTCCTCCTCTGATCTCAGCAGCTGCACGGCGTAGAGTATGTTGGGAGAGAAAGTGCCCGGCTCGAAAGGGGCGGCCTTGTACTTGCCGAGCTCTATCTTGACCCCTGCGATGACGATGATGATGCGCGTGTGGGATGGAAACAAACACGTTAAACAACAAACAAGAATCCATAAGACGGCCATCGCCAAGCGTGGAGTTGGGTTGAAACACACACTTTGAGTCGAATGTGGGGGGAGGCAGCACGAACAACACTTCCACGACATATCGGTCACGTACGGAGACGAGGAGAGCGATTACGCGGCAGTTGTGGTTTCAGCGGGAGCCAGTCTGGAAACCCTTTCGGCATACGTACCACTGCTGTATGCATAGCTCCGGACGCCAACCGGCGGCCGCATACAAGAAGAAGTAAGGCAGGTAAACGCTGGAGTCTCTTTTCTGCAACGTTCATTCACGCCGTGGCTTTGCCTTCGAAGCGCCAAGTCAAAGGCATGTTACCCTACGGAGGACATATCGCTCTGTATGTTGCTCGGAGAGGTCAGTAGGCCACGCAATACCGCCTCCCTTGAAACGACAAGCCAGTCAAGATGCGAGGGACAACTGGGTGAATGGGATCGCCGTGCAAGTGGGTGAAGGGATCCGCACCCACACGGCAATGTAGCAGATGTGTGTTGTCTCCTCGGCGGGCAGGCAGGCAGGCAGGCAGGCAGGCAGACAGGCAGGCAGGCCAATCGCAACGCCGCTTGAAACCAGGCACCGTATATGACACAAGACAAAACATCCCCTGGACCGACTTTCAGAGTCCAATTACTCCAGATGAAGAGGATGTATAGACGAAAGGATATGTTTTCAGAGAACGCTTGACCAGACGGCTTCAACGCCGCCCGTTTTCGGCCCTGCGACTATTGCTGCTGTTGACAAAATCGACCTTTGAAAATCGGTCCAGGGGATGTGTTATCTTGCATACGGTAACACATTCACTCTTCTTTTGTTCGCACGGGGCCAGAATAACCTCATGTGCTCCCATAGGGTATCACACAGTACAACAACATTCTCAATCGCAAAGGGGGCTTGAAGATATCAGTCACACCTGTTGTAGTCAACTTGCAAACCCTCAGCAAGCGATCTAGGCCAACCTTCAACAGCCGAGGAACGATCGATACAATTTAGTCCTATGGAAGGAGCCATCCACAAGGACCGCCAGGCCGGGGGTAAGGCCGGGGGTAAGTTGCGGCTGCTGTCGCTGCTACTGTCGCTGCTGCTTACGCTCTGTTGGTTGACGTCGCCCCTGCTGCTTCTGTTGCCATATAGCAGAATACAACGTCGCAAAGGGGGCTTGAAGATGTATCAGTCACACCTTTTGGGGTCAACTTGCGAACCCTCAGCGAGCAATCTAGGACAACCTTTAACAGCTGAAGCAACGACCGGCGCCAAACAAGCTAGTCCTAAGGAAGAAGCCATCCAAGATCGATTGCCAGCGATGATATCAACCTCACCAAAGAAGAGCAAAAAATAACAGAAACAGCGGGTGCGATGTTAGCCAACAGGGCGTAAGCAGCAGCGACAGCAACCGCAACTACAGGCGGCCTTTCCCCCCGCCTTGTGGTCCTTCTGGAACTTCTTCCTCTGCTTCTTGATTGACGACGCCTCCCCGAGAACGAGAAGCTTGACGTTATAGGCAAGCTTGTCGTTCTAGGGGAGGCATCCATCAAGAAACAGACGAAGGACCCGGAGAAGTTCCAAAAGGACCGCAAGGCCGGGGGTAAGGCCGGGGGTACGTTGCGGCTGCTGTCGCTGCTGCTTGTTGGTTGACGTCGCACCTTCTGTTTCTGTTGCAATGTAGCAGGAAGAACGTTCTCAATCGCAAAGGGGGCTTGAAGACAAATCAGTCACACCTATTGAAGTCAAAGCGACGATCTAGGCCAACCTTTTACAGCTGAAGCAACGATCGACGCCAATACAAGTTAGTCATAAGGCAGGAGTCACCCAAGATCAATTGTCAGCGATAACATCAACCTCACCAAAGACAGCAAAAACAAGAGAAACAGCAGGGGCGACGTCAATTAACCGGGCGTGAGCAGCAGCGACAGCAGTGGACTCATTGCTAGAATCCTGGGCTCTTGTCTGTGGATAGAGACGACTATTTGTTCGTGTATGAAAAAAGTCGGCAGCATTACAGTTATACAACGGTACGCGGTTTTGGTGATAAATAAGAATAATCGACTTCATCGTTTCACGGAAAAAACACGCCTCAGCCGTGAATCTTACACTAAACTCTATATAAATGATATAATGAACAATCTCGACGGTGGTTACGAAATAAGAAACTAGGCCTCGACACCAAGTTTACGATTCTTCAACGCGGGCGGTACCTGCTGTAATCCTGGGGTGTCAAAGATGTGTGTGTAGTTCTGTTGGGTGCTGGTTTTCAGATCGCACAGCGGAGATTCGCCCAAGAAGTTTTCTGTGCTCAAACAAACACCACCGACACCAAAATCTCGTGAACTCTACTAATAGAAGCCCAGCAGCACGGGTGATTGGAAAAAATGAATGTAAATCTAGACAATAAGCAGTACCCTCGACTTTTTCTTACGGTGGACATGGACTGTTGTAATGAAAAAAAAAACTACATACGTAGACTGACGATGCAAGACGTTGGTTGCTAGAGGTAACTTTGCACATTGCACTTGCCTCCCTGTGTTCAACCTTAGCAGCAGCCTCGCGTGTACTTGCTTCGGAATGTTTTCCAAGCAGCATCAGGTGAAAAAACTCTCCGTATCTCGTACAAAAGGGAGGCAGGTAGCACAACCAAACACACAACACCATCAGTAACCACATGCCACTACAGAACGTATCGAGCCCTCACCCTCTTCGATGGAAGGCACAGGGGGCGGTGGCGCCTGCGGCATCGTCGATGCGAACCCTTCCGCGAGCCCAAGCTCCTCCTCCTCTCCCGCAGCGGGCACCGCGACTCGCTTCCCTTCGGCTACGGCTTGCACCGCCGGCACGCCCTGCCTTTCACCCCCGCCACCGTTGTCATACGGCCCACCGCTTGCCATGCCCAGCGTGCCACGCCCGCTGCTGCTGCTGCTCGCTGCGCCCCCCCGGACAAGATCCGCTGCCGCACGAGATGGTGAGGTCTTGGCCGCCGCAGCAAAGACCGAATGCACCGCGAAGGAAGTGCCCACAGACTCGCAGCTGGCGATGCACAGGAAGCACAGCGCTCTCCGTGGGGGTCGAGGCCACGGCATCGCTGGGGGGCGGGTTGGTAGCTGCGTGATGAGCGAGGAGGTTGTGTGCGCGGAGTTATCGCCAAGCAACCGAATGACCAGGAGGGCACGTTTACGTGTCTCTCACGTTTACGTGTCTCTCTCGTTGGTCGACAACCTTCAGCTGAGTTGTGCTACTACTTCCTCTCCACGCTGTAGGACCTCAAACGGGCGAACAACTAGACGAGAGGTAGACTCTCGTGGTATCCTCTAAGCGCGTTGGCGCTTGCCTTGCTACAGCAGCAGAGACGCTCGTTTGATGCGCGCATCAATAACGATAAAAAAAAAATGGGTGCTTCAACCCCGCGTAAAAAAAAACCTTTGCCCATGAACTCCCAAATTGGCTCACAGCAACAGCGACAGATTACTCACGCGGGATGCAGGGACAAGGGAAGTGGGACGAGTGGGCAACATGCCACGCCGACAGCCCCTAGTGTGTTCTGTCCGTCGGCCTGTATCTAGCATCGCCAATGACGACGGTAGCAGCAGCAGCAGCAGCAGCAGCAGCAGCGTGAGCAGCGTTCGCCTGCGCTTGCGAGTTCGACCGCAGAGTTCGCCTCTGCCGGCAGGTTGCGCCGCCATCGCCCCTAGCCTGCGGACGCCGTTGGCTGGCGGGAGGTGAGGGCGTAGAGGGAGAGGTTGAAGGCGATGAGTCCGGGAGTGAAGTTGCAGCAACTTGTTAGACGTTCAGCACGACCCGTACAATGGTTTGGTTTTGGAAGCATCGTCCTCTAGCTTACGCAACATGGCCAACCAAGATACAACATGTATGTATTCACTGCGGCGTAATTGCTTGGCAAAGCAGTAGCCCGCACTATTTGTGTGCATACACTGTACTGCTTCGCTGTAAATCACTAATGCACTGACCTTTGTAGACAGAGCCTTATCTGGTACCACATGATATTGGCATGAGTAGCTGAAAACCACCTGAAACCAACAGCAGTAGACTGCTTACTTGTTGGGATGCAGAAAACGCGTCAATCTATCATCAACCTCGTGGTCACAACAGTTTTCACCGCTTCACGGCCTTCGTCAATAAAATGGTTTTGTTGCCACAGGAATACTTCATGCAGCGGTAGTGGTGCGGAAAGGGCCCGGTACGTCTACGAAAAGCCCTCGAAGCTCGAGATGTCTCCAAAACCACCCTTTTTGGTGTTGTCTCATGCTGTGCCACCCCCGTTTATTGTGGAGCAATCGAGCTTTGACCGGGGTTATTAGGAAAAATGAATACACAGAAACTACAGACTAATACGCGTTCGAGGAGTCTAGGGAGGCTGTCATCTCTCCGCCTCTTACGGTACTCTCACACCAGATACTCACAGAGTGGCGAAGTTGCCCTCTGCGATACCTCTGCCTTTGATCTAACTGCTGTAGCTGGTGTTCCGAGAGCCCCGACCACAAAGCCGTTGTTTGTGTAACCGTTCGTTCTCACACCCGCTGGCCATCCTCCCTCACCGACCTCAAAAACCGTCCATCGGAATCGGTGCCATCCATCTTGTGACCACCGGCAACAGCATCCGCGACCCCTTAACGGAGGTCGGCGTAACCCCAAGATGCCTCCGGCGCCTGCAGCTCCTCAGCGGCGGCTGGGTCCGTGTGTATCCGGCAACAACAACAGCACCAACAGCAGCAACGTCCACAATGACTCATCCCGCCTTTTCCAGCAGAAGCCCGCATCATCGCCCACCACATGGCGGCAGCCCGGGACCTCTCGAGAACCAGGCAATAGGCCTCTTGTGCCGCGTGGTCGCCGTGGGCAATGGCTCGGTGGATGACAGCGGTGATGATCGACGGGGTGGCAGCGGGAGTATGTACGCGCTAGCGGATGACGAAGCGCTCATTCCACCTTCGGTTGCGTTTAACGCGGGACTCGGGCCGTATTCGGACCACGTAATCCTTCGTTGGGCAAGCAACAGCGGAGGAAACAGTGGCGGCGGAAACAGCAAGCATGGGACCGTTTTGTTGCACAGCCCCCCGCCGATAGCTTGCGCGGCCTCGGTTTCTAGGGTGAAGAGGCCGAGACCCACCGGGGCACCCGGCGGTGGCAGCGGTGGCGGAGGCGGCAGTACGGCGAGGAGGGAAAAGGCCCACGCGCTGGCGCTTACGTCGTTTTTCTCGGCGCCCCGGGTTCTCCGCGTCGGGGACATTTTCGGGGTTTCCATTCCACGCCCGAGCAGCAGCACCACCGGGGGGTGTTGGTGGCAGGAGCTGCCGGAAAACGATGACGATGATTCAGACTGCGAGGAAGGCACAGACCCCCCCCGCCCGGATGAGCGCGGGTGGGGCGCGGGAGAGGAGGCGGTGACCGCTGAGGTGGCGCCGGCGGGTTGGGTGCCATGCGAAGATGTCCCGGAGAGAAACGCCGCAAGCGATCGGGTTTCCGCAAGGGGTGGTGGACCCGGAGGAACTGTCGACATGGGGTCGTCGGACAGGAGGCAGCCCACCCGCCCCCCCCCACCAAGGCGTCAACGCGAATCTGCGGCTCAGAGGTTCAGGGCCGCGATCGTTCGGCAAGGCTCCGAGCTTGTATTCTTTCGCGTCACCGGGCTGCGGGGAGCGGGTACCCGCGGCGGCGATGGCGGAAGGTCTAGTGAAGAGGCATCGCTAGGGCTCGCCGCTGGCAACGACGAGAAGCTCGAGCAAGAGGGCAGCTCAGAGGCGGAGGCGGCGGGAGGCATGGTGGTTAGCCAACGCGTGACGGAGCTGCGGGAGGGAGGGCCGGTCTGTTCGCCGGTGCCGGAGATCTCGCGCTACCAGCAGTTTGTCTGCCGGGCGAACGGATTCCCTTGCCCAGCGACCAAGCCGCCTTTCGTGAGTGTAGTTGCAGTAGCTGGCGTTGGAGATGTGTGACTTGTTGCCAGGGCGGGGCCGGAGATTGCTGGCGGCGGTTACACCACCATCCTGTCGGTTCTGGTGGGGGGAAGTTTCCAGGCCATTTTCAGCCGTCCGCGGCGCAATCCGCTCGCTGAATTTAGAGCCGCCGCCCAACCTCACCACCCACGCTGCCTGAACGTAGTCCTATGTTCCACCTTCCTACCCTCGAGCGCGTGTGATTTTGTTTGATGTGCGTATGCTGCAGAGCGATCGGTGTCCACTTGTCATGGCATTTGAGCATTTATCCTGATACAATTTAGCGGGTAATTTTGCACAGTCCAGCGACCTCCTGCCGAGACCTCTTCCGTTCCGTATTCACACCAGTAGCAGACGAGTTGTTGTTTGGCAGCAGCAATGCACAAGTCCCCTCTTTTGCCCGTTCGTTCAGCGTTGCCCCTTGATGGAGCAATCGAGCTTGAGAAATAGGTTCAGGCGGTGTGGTATCTTATGTTCACCTACGGAATGCTTGTTCCGCCCGCCACGGGTTCCTCCAAGACGCACCACGCACCACCCTTAGCGACACATATGCAGCACAACTTGTGCGACGTTTTTGACGATTTGGCCTCTGAGCGCTACCGCTTTGTCTTGCCCAGTGTGATCCAGCCACGCGCAGGGGCACAAGAATAGAGCGGTTTCCCCAGGGGGTGATGACGCTTGCGGCCTCTGCCAGCAGTGGCGTCCCTGGATGAATTCGAAGTCCACTTGAGACGAGCGACGCGCTCGTCACCAGCAGAGCGGGCAGCGCCGGTTGTCTCACATCCAACAACGTCGCTGCCCGTATTTCTCGCGACGGATACCTCGCTCGTCGTAAAATGGGCCTCTAATTCAGACAGGGGCACCATTGCTGGCAGAGGCTTCGGACGTCATCAGCCTAGGGCGGCCGCTTTGGTCTGCTTCATGTGTGTGTGTGTGTTGTGTGTGTGGACCACAAGGGGCAAGACAAACGGTCGCATTCAAAAGGCCAGCATTGGCCCACCCGCGTCCGCAGGCTTTGCTCCGCATGGAGATGTCGAAGATCTCCAAGTAAAACATTCCTCTTTCTTGGACATGCCGTAGGGACAACGGCGGTACTTTAGTGCTCTAGTTGTATTATCTTTCGCAGTCGTCGCGACAAGCGGCGCATTCGTCTATTTTCCCGTTTTTCAAGTGCTGCACGTCGATGGATCAGGGCACGGCTCTGTAGTTGTTCTTTTTCTTTATCGATGGTGGGGAAGACGTCTCCTCCGCCCGCACATATGCCACAGGAGCAACAAGTCTCACGCGTTGACTCCGTACACGCGTTGTGTGCGACCAAATGATTGGTTGTTCATTGCCCTTCTCTCTTTTTTTTTGTCGCACATGTTTGGATATTGCCAGAGAGTCTCTTTTTGTTTCACAGGCAAGCACGAACGGTGTGTTGCGCACGTCTCCGTTGCGTTAATCCACCCGCGTTAGGTGCAATGGGGCGGTGCGTGCATACATAAAACAGGTGAATACGAACGCTTGTGCACTTGTACACTATTTCTCTCGCAGTGCGGTTGGAGTGCAGTAGCGGGGCGGTGCCTGCATGCACGAACAGGTAAGCACGGAACGCTAGCGAATGCGTACACCGTTTCTCTCGTCGTACAGCCGTAGAAGTAGCGGGGCTGTGCGTTATGCATACGAACACCTCTCTTTCCTCTTGTTATTTGTTCTTCAGTACGCTCGTTATGCGGAGGGCAGCGTTGTTCTTCAGTACGCTCACTGCCCTACCACGGCCGTACCAGTCCAACGGTGCGGATTCAGGTAACGTCGCACGACACGACAACAGCTCCACCGTAAGTGAAACTACGCCGCCACTTCGCTTCACGCCTGACGGCGGTCCGGTGACTTCGTCTCGCGTACTCTCGCGCGGAATCAGGCAACGTCGCACGACAGCAGCTCCCACCACAAGAGCACCTACGCCGCCGCTTCCTCTCACGCCCGACTGCGGTCCGTTGACCCCGCCGCTTGCTCTCCCGCCTGACTGCGGTCCGGTGACATCGTCACGCGTACTCTCTTTTTTGTTTTTTCTCGCTTGGTAGGACGAGCGCTGCGTGGAGGCGGTGGTTGCCGCGCTGGCCCCGGTCGTAGGCCCGGAGGCGTTTAGGCTGCTGGTGGTGGCCCGCTCGCGGCCCGCGGTGCTGCTCCACGGGCCCGGGGCCGCGCAAGGCGGCGGGAGCCTTGTGGAGGCGGCGGCAGAGCGGGTAGGGCGTTCTTCTCTCGCGTGACCGCCGTTGTGGGTGTATACCTTGTGGGCGCTGTGTATTTAGATTGACCCGTGCTTGCGTTTGGATGTGACGTTTATCTCGCGGTCGCGGAGGCCTGTGCCGAGCCGGTAGGGCGTTCTCTCGCGTGACCGTCGTTGATGCCTGCACATTGTCAGCGCTGTATGTTAGGATTCACCCGCGCTTCCTTAGAGTGTTCAAGCTAAATGGCCTAGGGGCCGCGGAAGGCGGTGAGACCCTCGTGGATGCGGCGGGAGAGTGGGCAGGGCGTTCTTCTCTCGCGTGACCGCCGTAGATGCCTGCTACTACTTTGTGGGAGCTGTATGTAAAGGTTCGCCCGTGCTTGCGTGTGGAGTGTGGCGTTTATTTCGCGGAGGTCTATGCCGACCGGGTGGGGCAATCTCTCGTGTGACCGCCGTAGATACCTGTACAATGTCGGCGCTGTATGTTAGTACATTTTCGACGCTGTATGTTAAGATTCACCCGTACTTCGTGTAGAGCAGCTTTTTTAACCCGAGATATGTCGAGTGATTATGATGTACCCTGTGCCACGTCGGGTTGCTGCTCGACTGTAGTCCCAAAGAGGGCGGATCGTACGCCGATGTCGTATTTTGCTCCAACCGAAAGTGTCGTGGGCGCCCCAAGATATTTGATTTTCCGTTGTGTTCATGCTTGTACGGTTACGTGTTGGCGCTCAAGCACGCTTGAAACCTGCAAAGTATCACGAGGGAGAGTCATCGTCACCCTTGTCATGGATTTTTGTTTCTGTTTGTTGGCGATGGACAGACAGCAGCCCTTCTTCCTTGTACCTCCCTCTCGCTCGCTGGTCCGCCCTCGCTCTCGGTTATCTTGGCTGCCGCAGCTTGGGATGCACGTCCGGACCGTGGCCATGCGCTCGGTTCTCGGATCAGCCCCGCATGCCGGCGGTGCGGGTTTCGCGGCCGGAGGCGCGGCTGGGGCGCTGCGGCAGGAGTTCCAAGCGGCCATGGAGGCGTATCCGTGCGTGCTCCACCTCCGCGCCATCACGAGTCTAGCCGGTGAGAAGGCATTCCGATGTGTCTTCCAACGCACACGTTTCTGACTTGAAATTCCAAACATTCACTCCGGTCCGAATTCTACGTAAATATTGGGTGCAATCTGTGTTCCGTGTTTCTTCACAGTCCCGAGCAAGTTACCCCGCCAAATATCCAAGTAGACCTCGTTTGCGAACAGATTGGTGGCTGCCAACCGTAGATGCCGTAGAGTGTAGTGTCGGTTTCTACTTCTGCGGTGAACTTCAGTACGTGTGTTCTTTTGTCCCGACAAGTATTGTTGGAGGACAAATGCATCAATACACAGATTGTTGTCGCACCAATGAGCGGACGACACTGACAGCTGGCCACGTCACTCCTAGTAGAGTGATAGGGTTAGGTGAATGAAATGTAATAATGGCACGGTTTCCTCCGTGACCGCAGGATGAGCAAGCGTACGAGCCCGGACGCGTTCTTGAACGCTTGAATTGGACCACTACCAGTAGACCTCAGGGCTGTTTTTCATCATGAAGGCAGCAGAAAAGTGACAAGTGTGCGATGTCCGGTGGCCAAAGCCGCCGATATACTGCACTGAATGAGTATAGCCCTTGCCATTTTTGATGGTGCAAGACGAGCGCAAGGCTTTTGCCGTAGTTGTGCGGGTGATTGCACAAGCCGTGGACTGACTTCGCGATCTCGATTTGCTGCACAACCCAGACGGCACGAAAGCGGACCGTTTCATGCAAGCTTGCACCCAACCTGTTGCCGAGACCGTCATCTTTCCAAGGCAACTATTTTCGCCTTTGACAACCTCTTGTTTGTGGGGCAATCGAGCTAGGAAATTATTCTATTTTTTTTTGGGGGGGGGGCGGGGGG